CCTTACACAGAGAGGTTCCACCCCAGGGTCCAATCCCTTACCTTTTTGTATACAGCATCATTTTGACAGAAAAGGTTCCCCTTTCACACGCCTTTAATTGAAAAAGATACCCTTTTCAAATGCTTTCATAACCAGCCCGTATTATGAATAAATCGCCAAAAAAGGAATTAATCTTCTTGTCATTTTCATGTAGTGCTTAATAAACTAAATAATACAGCCATAAGGTGCATCTGTTAGAAATATTTTAACAGAAACCCTCTTAAAAAACTAAGGAATAGATTTCCCTACCTTTCATATACCTCAACTTGTGAAATCTCTACCATTTTATATAACTAGAGCCTGAGAAAGGTACCACTTTGGGGCAGAGCCTCATGTTATAGGCCATTGTAGGGAGTAACACCCTTGCCCACCCTTGTGCATATATCCACCCCATGGAAAGTCACTGGTAATTCCGAAAGGGGGATCAAGAGCTCGAAAGCCAAAAAATTCAAAAGGAATAGCACAAGGCTAAACTGGAATTTAAAGAGGGGCAGCCAACTGGGGATTTCACATACTGTTCTAGCCAAAAAAAACCCTTCTGTGGAGAGGGTAAGGATTATAATTATTTTTATACAACAAGCAACAGATTGCACTGCATGCAGCTATCATGATTTTTGAAATGTTGCTTAGAATATTACCTTGTACGCAACCAATGTAAGCAGACTGCAAGTTTAATAAACACAATTTTGTGTCCTATGCTTCAATTGAGACTTATGGGAATGTTCTCAGTTAACATCTACACTATCTCTTTGAAAGGGATAACAGTCATTTTAAGTGACTAGGTAGTAATGCAGAAAATTATAAGATTGAAACAGAAGGCACAGTTTCATGTACATTTAACAAATTGCTTACCCTATCTCCTTTCACACCACTAAGGCCGCGTCTACCAGGAGCACCTGATGGGCCCTAAAAGGTTTATAAGATTGACATGTCAAGGTGCTGACTGAAAAACATTTTCAAGCCTGAACAATGTCCTGTAACAAACTGTAACTGTGATGTACATGTAGACTACTAACCTGAACATCATTCCCACTTAACCCTCCCCCTCCTCCTCCATGCCTGCTACATGAGCTTGCATGATTAGGCTTATTAAAATTAATTGCAAATAATTTAAATTAACACAATAACTTCATCTTTTATGGTACTTTAATCTGTAATTTGAATTTCTTCAAAACTAGAGTTACCCAAAACAAACTTCACTTTGTTTGTCAGACAACCTGAAGAGGACAGATTCCACTTAAAGGGGCTCAGTCACGGTATTTTGAGTTATTTGGGCCACATTCAAAATTACCTTTAAATGGTAGGAAACCTGAAAATAACAGTTTAATAAG